ACAGCAACTATTATCATCATTTCCCTAACCCTCATCATCATCACCCTATTCATCGTCCTACACTTCACCTATCACCGTCAACAAACTACTATTCTCCCTCTCACACACCTACCACCCCGCCCAAACACCATTTTATCCTTCTTCCCTGCCAACATCTCACCCACCTCTTCCACCGCTTCTTTCCACACCATCCCCCTCTAGTAAAAAAATACATACATAACTTCCTTGGCATTGAACCATTGGAGTTTTCTCGGTTTTACATAGTTTCATTTCGCATACCTCTAACCAGGCCGCACATTTGTGTCCGCCAGTTGGAGAGGAACTGACAGCTTAACAAGCGGGTTACATTGGGACAACCGTTCGGACCCCAATTTATTACAAATACCTTTTACCTACCTTCTTAGACACACATTACTTAGTTACGTACACAATAGTCTGGGACAGAAGAGGGCCCAGTTATCACAAAGAGAAAGACAGAACCTGTGAGCTTATACAGAGTTGTATCGATCCAACTTGTCATTGGGGAATACCTGTATATGCACAGAGACGATCTAGCACTTTGGCTAGAAACAGAACGAAATTACACACATACCTTTTTGTGGTGTTGCGAGTTTAACGCACCCGCAATTGAATCAATCAAATCCGCTTCCCCACGATCACCCACACCTTCCATAAAACAAGAATCCCCCAACCCTGTTCCAATACCTCAGCGCCAATTGCCGAGAATATCGGCACGGAGAGTCATTGTAACAATACCCAAAGTTTGTATACTCTGGTGCACACGCCGAACTCTAAGTGAAGGATAATGGTTGACTGGGTTTGTATACCGCAGTCCCTGAGGCTAGCAAGCTCAGTGGGAGGACCGAGTGAGTGTTACGATCACACATTTTTGGACCTTTAATTTTCATTCTCCTCTTTAACCTTTTTCCATTTTAGTTACAAACTCTCTCACGCAGTGGAGCTGGTCACACGGGCATGGCCCCATGACAACATCAGCCACTGCCTCTATCAACTGTATAGTACACATGTACAAATAACCCTGTAGTAGTATATATACCCCAATAGATCCAGGGAACTCCTCAGCGAGTCTTCCTGTTGTTTACCCACAACTAACTCGGTCCTCCCACTGAGCTTGCTAGCCTCAGGGACTGCGGTATACAAACCCAGTCACCCCCTTTATCCTTCTAAGAGTTCGGCGTGTGCACCAGAGTATACAAACTTCTGGGTATTGTTACACTAAGACTCGCTCTATCACTCTCCTGCACATAGTGCAAAGCCGGACCACAGGCTTAAGTGGATTTCTGTATACGCGGCCCTCAGCGTTAAGAGGTGGTGTCCGAAAACCTTTTTGGTTATACACGAGTTGTTGGGCCTAGTGCCAGACCGTAAAACCTAAAGGCGGTTCCCGCAGAGATAGGCTAGTGCCATACTCAAGGGAAATAGGAATTTATCGAAACATTACACGGCCCCCAGTGTCAAGGGGAGTAATTAGCAGCATCAGTGGTGTGGAACCATTGGTGTTTAGGTATTAGATACATAACTTCTTCTTCAGATACCTCTGACCGGGCCGGGCACTTGCCTCCGCCAGTTGGAGAAGGGTTGACAGCTTAACAAGCGGACCACCCCCTGACAACCATTCGGACCAGGGTTTATTACATTTACTTTTTATATACTTTTATTACTATACATGTGGGTAGTCGGAGATTGAGATCCGATATCCAGCTAGGAAGAGGTTGATCCGCAGATAGCAAGCGGGGACCCCTAGTTATCTTTTTTTTACTTTACACACGAAACAAGTCGACATGACGTTGCAAGATGATCTGAATGCGCTCCTTCACAGGATGCGGCAACAGATCGCGGATCTCACGGTTCAGCTGGCAGAGGTGCAAACCAATCCAGCAGCGCCAGTTGAACGGAGATTCAACAAAAAGGTCGAGATTGTCGCTGACCCCGGCAGTTTCGACGGAGACAGAGCAAGATTCGCCGAGTGGTGGATCAAGCTACAGATATGGGTGAAGGCCAACTACAAGGCCTTCGAAGACGATTTCGAGTTGTCGACGGCAGTACTGTCGAGACTCAAGGGACCTGTGGCGGGTCGATACGCCCAAGTTAGACTCCAAGAGTGCTACCAGTCGGGCAACTGGCCAGCATGGGACGATCTCAAGGCAGAGATCGAAAAACATTTTAAGCCACAAGCAGAACGCGACTGGGCGCGCCAGCAAATCCGTTCCTTCACACAAGGAAACATGAGGACGGATGATTTCGTTACCCGGTTCCTGGCGCTCTCTATCCAAGGAGGGCTCGGGAACGAACATTCGGTAGAGTTGTTGGAGCGCAACATAGCTCCAGCAATTGCACAACAGCTCTACTTGCAAGGGCGACGAGAGGACGAGCTGGCAAACGCAGCAGAGGCCGTTCGGGATATCGGTAGAGCTCAGGAGCTCTATCAGATACAATTCGGTGGCAGGTCCACCAACACAAACAACCAACCCCAGAGGCGCCCTGGGTTATCAAACCAAAAACCACAAAACACAAACGGGTTCAAGCCTTATGGGCTACAGCCAGGGCGAGGAGCACCCATGGAGATTGGCGCGGTCCAAGAAGGACAAAGGCGCAGATTCCAGGGCTCTTGCTACAGCTGTAGCAAGGAGGGACACATGTCCCGAGACTGTAGAACCGGAGCGCAGGCCGCTCAAAACAAAAACAATCAAGGGCGCCAGGCGCGCCAACTTGAAACAGAAAAACCAGACGATCGGCTCAATTCATTGACCGGTCGTTCGTATGACGAAATTCGGGCCTTCTTCTATGATCAGCAGGCGGCTGAGATGAAGGCTCAGGGAAAAGAGTTCGGAGCTTAGGGGACTTGGGTCCCTCTGCTCCACGAAACAATGAAGTAAACCACAACAAGGTGGCTCCCAATTTTTCATTTTATAATCACTTTTCACCCCTCGAGGGTTGTATAACAAATGACTTAGACGAATGTGATAGTGTAAATTATGATACCAATGTTACCGCTGCACCAGCGTCTCAAAATGAGTGTGGCCCCGGCGAGATAGAAACTAGGGTGCTTGATTCTGGAAACAAAACACAAAAGAATGTAGAAAAAAACAAAGTACAAAAACATGTATCTTTCAACAATGGTATTTCTCTCGAGCCACTTCCAACAGAAACCCCAAGGCGTGTGTTGATGCGCACATATGTATTTCAAAAAGAGATCTGTTTAGATGTTGCGGTTGAAGACCTTGCCCAAGGGACTATACACCCAACCAGCGCACTGCTTGATTCAGGCGCAAACAGAATATTTATAGATCAGGTCTGGGCGGAGAAAGCTGGTCTCCCGCTCCAAAAATTAGAAGCATCTATTCCTGTATACAATGTTGATGGTACACTTAATGCTGGTGGATGCATAACACACAAGTGTTCCTTTGTGGTCGAGTACCAAGGACACCGAGAACGCATCACCGCAGAAGCTACTCAACTAGGAAAGATTAACTTAATATTAGGCTGGACCTGGCTATTTAAACACAACCCTGAGATAGACTGGAAAACGGGGGCAGTAACACTGTCAGGTTGTCCTCAGGAGTGTTCCGAATTAGGTAAACCCATTCACATACGTCAATCTGAATCTGAAGAGAAGATAAACGCTGGTCACATTTATAACACACTCAGATCTCTGGATAAAGTAGACGACGATGATGATGAGGTTAAACCTGAAGAGGAAA